ACCTAGAAGCGATGGCCTCCAACCTAGAAAGGATAAACTTGCCTTGAGCAAGGCCTCTTCCATGTTCTCAACCAGGAGCTGTGCCTGAAAGTAAGTAGCTAGCTGTATCTGTATAAGGAGTATGTATGTATCAATGAAGGAAGCTACCAGCTTGGACAAAAGAAAGGGTCGGAACCTTTCAATAAGAAGGCCAGCTGGCATAGCTGCTTAGCGGACACTTAGCTTCTCGGAACTAGACACAGAAGGACTAACATGTTTGATTTGGTTGCCAACATTTGTAAAGCTTGTAAAGCTGCAAAACCTTTTCGACTTTTTTCTTCTTCCATTCTTGTCTTAACAAGTGTCAAATGAGATTTTAGCTGGCCACACTGGTAGAGCACGATGAATTCCAAATTAAACGAGCCAGAGTAGCACACCACCCATGCGGCCTGGGTGTTTTGTTGCATAAGCTTCTTCTCAATTCGAGCTTGCCGTTCCACACGTGCATTCGCACCTCAGTCGCTGTAGTGACAAACAGGCGTCACTTGAGCTTTCATTCACAGTCAGAAATGCCTTTGCCGAGGTCTAGACGTGCATCCTTTCGACCCGTCTTTGATGCTTTCTTCCTCGGCGCAAACCACCGATCCAAGAAACGATGCCATTGCCAACCTTTATGAAACATGTCCATGTGACATCCAAGGTTGCCAACCTACTGGGCCAAGCAGCAGGTTGACAGTAAAATACGGCAAAGACATCTAGGATTGGATGATTCGATTACAAATCACCACCTAACATAGGGACTAGCATCTCCAAATTTGCTGTTGCAAGTGATCTTTCCAGCTGATATTTGGGTGCTTGCGGCTACCTTAAACTATCAACCCTGGATCTGGATGCGTCCAAAGCTGAGAATGTATGACGGGTGCAATCTCTTCAACTGATTCAAACGCATCATCTTTCACATTGAACTAGTGAGTGACTAGTGCTAAGAAAGCAGCGCTCGGTCAACGCGTTCCTGCGATAGCAAGGAAGGACTGAAAGGGGAAAAACATAGGCCTTAAGTTTCCCTATAAACCTAGGAACCTAGGAACCAAATGAAAAGTGCGAGCGCTTCTTCAAAGAAGCGTGAACTATCCTGTAAGTCCATATGTTGTAGCTTACTTGTTACTAGCTACCTTTAGCTACTACTAGCTACCTCTAGCTACTGCTACTAGCTACCTCTTCTACCGGCCTAACCCCCGGGCCCAACAAAAAACAGAAACAACAAAATCAAGGGAAGTCCTTCTCGACCTTCAACCGTCGAAAATCCTCTGCAAGTCGTCCGGCTTTTTGCCGCTCGACCTGACACTTGATCGCACGGAAGCGGTTGCAAGTAGAGTATGCGCCCGTGTTGTTTTTTCTTGTTTGTTTCTTTGGTTTCTATTGTATGCATGTTTGTTTGGCTTTGTCTGTGTGTTTTGTAGCTTGTCTATTTTGTATAGCTGTCTTGATTCTTCTATTTTTTTTGTGAGTGTGTGTGTGTGTTGGACTGTTTTAGTTAGGGTATTCTTTAAGCCTTGCACTGCATTGCTTTTCCCCCAGATAGCGAAGCTATGGGGTTCTTACTTCAAATAACAATGAGTTGCCCGTGCGTGCTTTCGAGGCACTGGTGCTGGGTGCCGGGCGCCGGTGCTGTGAGCTGGCTGTGCGTGGTGGAGACAGGGTGCCGGGTGCCGGTGCTGGTGCTGGGCGCCGGTGCTGGTGCTGTGAGCTGGCTGTGCACGTGATGGAGACAGGTTGCTGGCGCTGGTGCCGGGTGCCGGTGCTGGTGCTGGCTGTGCACGTGGTGGAGACAGGTTGCTGGCGCTGGTGCTGGGTGCCGGTGCTGGTGCTGTTAGCTGGCTGTGCACGTGGTGGAGACAGGTTGCTGGTGCTGGTGCTTGCCGGGTGCCGGTGCTGGTGCTGTGAGCTGGCTGTGCTGGTAGGTTGGAGGCCATCGCCAGTAGGTTGGAAGCCATGGCTGGTAGGTTGGACACCATGGCTAGTAGGTTGGAGGCCATCGCTAGTAGGTTTGAGCCCATCAGTGGTAGGTTGGAGGCCATCGCTGTTAGAAACAAAGACCAAAAAAGGCAGAAAGGTCTATGATTGCTAATTCTATTTACTTCTTGCTTCTAATAGCAAACATTGTTCCTAGTAGTACGGCCAGGAGCCCCTAGTAACGTAGCGTCTATTCGGTTGGAGGCCATCATTGGAAGTCCTTTTGTCTGAGCTCCATGCCTCGACTTGCCACTCAGCAGGTGGCGAAGCAATGCCCTTGAAAAGCCTGCAGGTTGATCCAAGCTGTCCCAAAGTGCAAGTAGATACAACCAATCAAGCTTTCACCTGGCCATCTGACCATGCGTGCACAGCATTCATGAAAGTAACAAGTAGTACAAATCCAGTCCTGTTCATGGCCATCACCTTGCAAACTGCTGCCTGCCAAGGAGGCATGGTTGCTGACCTTCAAACCGCCATGATATTACTTAAAGTCCCCAAACTGGCTCCTTCATCTTCTCGGTAGGTGTTCGTGCACCCAAATGATTTGCCTCAGCAATTGGTTGACTGCATAACATCTCCGCCATAATGATCGAAGTCTGTCGCAACCACTCAAGGACGACAGGAAGATACAGGAAGCAACACAGGAAAAACACAGCAAAACGCACTTGATATTGACACACCTCAGGTGTAACCTGTGTAGCCTTCTGTAGACATGTCTAAGACATGTCTAAGACCCTCTAGGCCTTCAACAGGCGATCCTTCCACTCGAGCTGATTCCATTCAATGCGCCTTGCCAACACCATGCCGACTGTCAACCGGTGAGCAACACGCCGAGTTGTGAAGCACCAGCAAAAAAGCACATTTTGAACTTAGTGAACTCACCTACCTACGTTATTCATTGTTATTCCATTGTGTGACCGGCAGGCAGGCTGTTTGCTCAACGGGCTGTGCATCTCACCTGACTCCGGAGAACTTGACAGTGGCGTCGCTGCCGTAGGCATATCTCCTAAACGTCACCGCTGTGCGGCAGTGGCCATGAGCCATGCGTGCACGTGAAGCGCCAAAAAGCACTATCAAGTAGATAGAGCTCATTCAAAGGTTTATAAAAAATTGTCACTAATTTTTCCTCTACTATGAGATTCTAAGGGAACCCCTGTGCGGAAAGCCAAAGCACCAACAAAACCAGGTGTGCTGACTGGCGTGTTCGCCATGGTGATGTCGTCTCGCCTCTCAACTTTCGTTGGGTCCCAGCGGCTATGTACCTCTAGGTGTTGACAGGCAAACCCCTGTGAGCACCAACAAAGCGCGAAGCTCAGGGGATGACATCGCCGGACAAGGACTCCTGCGAATCCTGCGGCGGCTGTGAACTCAACAGCTGTGCCAGTCTGCTTTGGGTCTGACCATCTAGCTTTACCCAGCAAGAATTGCAGCTGTTCGCATTAACCACCCGAAGGCTCCTGGGACTCTGCCTCTGAAAGTGAATCTTCCTGATAGGCGAAATAGCCTTGCACCTGTGCTCGCTGATAGACGAAACTGAAAGCCGAGCAGTGCTGAAAGACGCTTAGCGGGCTTAGAAACGGCCTCTGCGGAGCGGAGAGCAGACAAATTGAAGCTTCCGACCTTAGCCAATCGGACATTGTCGGAGCTTCAACTGAGATGGAGAAATATGACCTGGGGGAACCAGTCTGTCACATCGTCTGTCGCAAAATGCTACTAGTAGCTTGAAACATGTGAATACCTTCTTCTGCAGCTGCTGGCTACTTTCCACCCCACCAGCACAAGGCCCTTGTCTTCTGGTCTTGGCGGTATTGTAGGCCTCGGGCCTCTCCTGAGAAGCGTTGCATGGCAGGTCGGTGCCCCCAAGCTCGAGCTCCAGTCGAGGGACCATGAGGCCTGCAAGGAGCAAAAGAGAACCACTCAGTGTCACAAGAGGCTCCTGTTTGATCCTGTTTAGCCTCCGTCCTCCTCTACTTTCTCTAACCTGATCTGTTTTTGTGATCTCTCAAGTTCCTTTTTGAATCCCTCTCTCTATACTGATGAGTGACTGTTGGCCTATAGGTCTCGGCTTGAGCTCGAGCTCGGAGGGGCACCCTGCGAGAAGCCGAGAACCGCCAGGGGCCATGGCCGTGGCAATGACTCTCATGAGGCCGCCACGCCCAGGGCTCGTGCAGTTGGAAGGCAGGCTCAGCGACAATCGCCCTGTCAACACACGTTGACAGCTACAAACCATTGATGGAGTGTAGGGGTCGTCATCCACCACGAAATGCAGTCTGTTTCTTTAAAACACCGATTTCAGATCATGTCCCTATGTCTCACCGGTAGTGTGCCGTAGTTTCCAGGTTTGACACCGATTTCAGAGTCTGATCCCTGGCCTTTTTGGATTCGGCGGATGCTTTGTGACTGGTGCCTTGGAAAGTAAGATGTATCTGAAGCAAAGAATGAAAAGGACAAAAAAAGGTAACGGCCCCTTTGATCCGGTTTATTCAAGGCTTCTGAAAGGGGCCCTTACCATCTGTTTCCTTTGTTTTTCAATATCATTGTTATTTCTTCAAACTTGAGCATATTAGAATTTTCCGGAGGCCTGCGAAGTCGGAGGAGTTGTGGGGCTGCGGCCTGGCTGACCTTCAGGGCAGCAATCCCAAGCTCCCAAAGATCCCACGTCTGTGATGTCACGCATCCAAACATAACATATCATAACCGTCGTAACCACAGTCTCAGCTGAAGTTGCCGCATTTCACTTCCATCATGGAAGGTGATACAATGATTCATCATGATTCACATGTGAAGGCCTCCGTCCATGCCTTCGCTGGGAGTGTCCAGCTTGGGAGCCATGCTGCGGATTCCTATGCCATCTCCGATTCCAAGCTCCCTAGAGCCGAGATGCTTTTGAGACCGCTCCCAAAGCACACACACAAACTACGTGACTACACTGTATGTGGAGTGATGAGACACTGCACTCACTGCACTGCCTTCTACAAACAATGTCTCTCAAGAAGCTGGGAGGTCACCGTGGCCAAAGTGTAGCGTGGACCGTCGGGACTCGAAGACCGCCGCACGGCCTTGCCAGTCAGAATATGTCAGAAGCAAAAGCGTGAGCGCATTGCATGTAAAAACGTGTAAATCAATATGCTCTCTGCACAGCTTGGCCACGTTCGCAATCTTTGCTGTACTAGGTAGTGGCTAGTGTGTGCCATCTGATCCCACAGGCGACAAACATCTATCAGCGCCTGCAGAAATAAGCTCGCCTGTGGGGCTTGGACAAAGTTGCCTGGAACAGTGGTGAGATCGCAAAGTCTTGCAAGCCTATTTGTCACTGTGCTGCCATGGGGCCACTCCATGTTTGATACGACAGCCATGCACTGGGCCCGAGCCTGCAAACAGTAAGTTTGAGAACTGTGACACAGCCTCTGAATGGAGACATCAGCTGTGATTTCCGGGTTGGATAATTGATATTGTTGATCCGTTGCCGTGGATGATTAATAACTAGGCTAGGTATTGGCATCCTGCAGGTTTTGTCGGAGCATTTTTAAGCCGCTGAAAACGAAACAATCCCTGCAATGCAGTCCTCCGTATGGTGTTGTCCGTGGCCTCAACTTACTTCTGTGGTTCTATCAGTATTTCTGTCGCTTCGGAAGAAGCCCAAGTTCAGCATGCAGCCGAGCTGCTCGGTAGGGATCAGAGATCTGTCGTCCTGGAAAGGACATACAAATGGCCAAGACCTCAACACACAGGTGACACAGCAAGGAAAAAGACACACGGGGATAGATGGATCGGAGATGCTTAATGATTCACGTTTTTTGTCGTTTTAAATTGTTTTAATATGTTTTAATGTGTCTCTCTCGCTCCCTCTCCCATAATCAAGGAGGCCAGGCAAGGCTGACAGGGAGATATATGCCAATCCGCAAGTTGAAAACTCAAAGCCACTTGCTAAACCCACGTGGGCTTCTGCCGAATCGGCGAGCTGTTGTATTGTTGAACACATCTTACACGGCCAACCTCAGTTCAACCCCATATATAGCATGGTAATGCATTCTGTAACCCCTCGATTTGGAGCGTTCTTAGCTGTCTTTTTCTTTCCGTAGTGCATCATCGTTTCCTGAGACAAGTCTTCTTGGCTTTGCGTGGTCTCACCCTGTATACTTTTGACATAGCAAAAGAATTGCACATGACGTAGCCAATAACATTGATGACACTTGGAAGGACTTCATCAGTTGAATCACTACCATGGTGTTTTGCAATCAATATCCTGTCGAGGATCAAACCTCCATGGTTCTGGAAGAGAAGGTGTGATACACTTGGAATCAGCAGCTTGATTTAACGCTATATGTAATGGTGTGAGTCGGCCTACCCTCCGAGAGAATACTTTGACCAACCTACTTACTGTACTTGATCTTACTTGCGCATATGAGTCGTATGAGATGATGAGTGTCAGCTAGAATATGCTAAAATGTATTATAACGAAAAGGACCTGATTCAACAAGGCCCGTGACTGTGCAGGTTTTGTAGCAATTTCCGACTGCTCTTTACTACATTGGTCGCGCATTAAACATATTACAAGTATGTATGTTTGCAAGTGCCACAGTTAGGTTGAGTATTTAAGAGGCGCAGAATGCTCCAAGACTGGCACCTCTGTTCCTATTATGAGCAGCCAAAATATAGCATCGGGTTGTTTGATGTTGTTTTTGGACCAACCTAAAAGGCCTGAGAGCTCCACTTCTTCAGCCGTGGGAGCAATCGACTCGGGGCTTTGGCGGCGAAGGGCTTCGCCTGGTTTGTTCGTACAGATTGAATCGGTTTGAAACTGCCAAATTTAGAACACATCGGTGACACAGTCGCATCAGTCGCATTGATTCACAGCGAATGGAGATGCCCTTTTCCAAACTAGGGGCCCTCAGAGGGCTTCTGTGCAGTCAGATTTCAGGTGACGACTGACTTGGAATACAAATGCTTAAGGTCTGGAAGGCCAGAGAGAAAGCTCTTCACTTTGTGAGTCATCCCCTTCTTCTTGCGCTTCTCCTCGGCACCGAGGCCACCTTCGTTTGCGTGGGCGGCGGGTCCCGGTGCTGTGGCAATGGAGAGCCCCACAGAGTTCAGCGCTTGCGAGAGCACGTCTGTGTCTGAAGGTTGGGATGGCTTTGGACCGATATTCTCACTCTCGGGAAGATGACCGACATTTTCCAGCAAACCCCAATCTGCATCAACCATGTTTGTCATGCTCTCACCTCGGTCAGCATGATCCGTCTCAACACCGTCGCCTACAGGCGCAACGCTGGGACCCGCAGCTGCAAGGGCGCCAGTCTGTGCTTTGATCTCATTTTGAGCAGGTGAGGTGGGGCTGCCTGGAGAACTGGTTGGCTTTGGCAGCTGCAGATGCTTCCCCAATGAATTCAAAAACTCCTCCCTGACTTTTGCTCCAAATACCCTGGAGGGATCTGGCTCCTTGATACCCAGCTTGGAGAAGGGCACAATGGGGACCCGAGTAGAAACTCCACAGCGGACGAGTTCTTGAGCCTCTTCAGGGATGCTTTGAGTTTGAAGCCAGGAGTCCCAGTCTGTGACTTTGTCGTCTGAGTCGGGTGAAACCTGCGAATCAAGACCCAAAGGTGCGGGCATGGATTCTCGCCAAGTCTCAATGAGCTTCAGCACCAACTTGTTATGGTCCTCTACACTGATCCCCTCCGGAGACTGAACTGGAGCAAAGCCCCACTGGTCATCCTCCGCTGCCGCTCCTGAGAAACATCTTTTTCAAACACAAGCATATACTACCGCGCAGGACTCAGGATGACATACTTAGGGAAGTTCGAAAAAATATTGCACAAGTGCAAACTAGCTGCCGTCTGTATTTGATGCCACTGCCACATTTCCCTCAAAGTCTCCAAAATCGTCGTCATCTTCGAAATCTGCGCTGCCATCTGCTGGAAGGCCTACACGGGTGGAAATCCGCCAAAGGCAGGCCGTTCATGGTAATTGCTCGAAGCACACTACTGGAGTTATATTTTAACATGTATCATCATCCGGTAGCAGTATAGCAGCCGCTCGAGCGAGAGCAAGCCTCAATAAAGGAGGACGAACAAACCAAAAACAACCCTGGTCTTTTTGACGCCATTGAAACTACCATAATTCTTATTCCAGCCCTTGCCTGGCTCACCAGCTAGTTGATTTAGGTGCTCCTCATTGGTTACGGTTCCCTCATTGATCGGCTCATCTGCATGTTCAGCTGGCTCATCTGTACTGCCAGGGTCGAGTTGCGGATAGCCTCCATCGCCACTGCCTCCGCTCCCCCCACTTCCCATTGCCCAAGGGGCTGGGCTCCTCGGAAAAATTCCACTTCGCTCCAGGACAGGATCATCACCACCAATGTCGCCACGTGCGCTGGCAATTCTCGGCCGATTGGTGGCCGTGATGTCGGACGGCAAACCGCCCATGTCACCTGGTTGTGAGCTTCCCTCAGGTGCTAAATGTGCACTGCCTCCCGACTCACCAACTTCAATGCCTTCCTGAACCCTCGGGCTGCTAGCAGCACTCAAGCCGGGGGCATGGGCTGCATCGGACCAAACAAATTCGTCATCCTCATTTGCAGACCTTG